TTTTAAAATCTAGTGTCCTCTTCCCAGGCTTTATTCTCTCTTTTGCATGTATCCCTGTTTTCACACTCTCTTCCCTAAAACTCTTCTGTGGCTTTGTATGTACCTAGGGCAGGCGTTCAAAAAATATTTTAAGATACCAGAATCAGTCGTGCTATCTTTTCTGGACTTTGAGTCTGTGTTTTTAATAGCCATAACCCCCCAAATTGCAAGTGCCTCACAGCCAAAAGCAAACTGATGATTTCCTCTGCTCTCCAGACTGGCTCCTCTCCTTCTGCTGGCGTGGTATCTCTGTGGTTGTCATTTTGCCTGTGTCCCCAGGCTGGATACATTAAGGTCCTTCTTGACTCCTCTTCCCTCTCTGATTTTCATTCGGTCTCTGAGCTCTGATGAATAGTTCCCACGTCTCCCTTTCTTTTCTTACTATTTTCTGTGACTGTTGCCTTTTTCTATTTTTAGTCTCTTATCTGGATTATTTCAGTAATATGTTCAGGGGTTCTAAATTTGGATTTCATGGGTTGACCTCAAAGCATTTTTAAGAATCCCTTCAAAATTGTATGCAAATTATGCACATGTGCATTTTTCTAGGAAGGTCCATTAGACTATTATGTGGGAAAGAATGGGAAAAGAATAAAGAATATTCATGAAGAATATGACAGTTTAAATCAGTTCCACTGATTTTTTTTCTTTCATATCTTTCCTTTGCTCTTTAATTCACTAATCCGGGTTAATGATCCCTGAGTAGTGAGCAGGCCTGTAAGATACTAAGATGGAAAAAAACAAGTTGCAGTTAGCACAGCTCAGTAGTCAGGCAGCCAGAGATCAACTAGCTGCTTCTCAGAACCAGAGCTAAGTCTCCCAAGTCCTAGAGAAGCTCAAGAGAAAGCTGGGGCATCAATGGGGTGAAGAGCATCCTCCCTGAGCCCCTAGACCCATTTGCTTATGTGCTCTCGGAGGACTGGGAATGGTCTAAAAGCTTAACTGGCAAAACTCCAGAATCATCTAGTGAGTCAGTATTTCCTGAAAAGGGCTAGCAAACTGCCTTCAGCTACCCTTCCACCCCCAGCATCTTTGTCCTCCAGTCCTTTCTCCACTCTGCCACTAGAGTGTACGTAGATCTTTTGTACATATATCTCATTCCGTGAAAAACAAATTAAAAACTCATATAGTTAGAAACCTGACACCTCCATTTCCAGGTACTCCCCTCTCCTCCCTTCCAATATTATAGCTGCTGCTGACAGTTTTGAGAGAACAGCTTCTCTGTCCATACCTTTACGCCTTGACTGTTACAGTCTTTGTCTTTGTGGTACCGTTTCTCTCCACTCTCCAGCCACAAACCTCCTATTCATCCTTCCAGTCCCAGATTCAGTGTTACCTGTGCCCCTTTCCATCCCTAATTTTTGCTGTCACTCTTGTAGAATCAGGCTCTCTCACAGAGATTCTAAAAATATTTTATACATATCTCTCATGTGCCATATTATAGTAAATTTTTACTTCTTTCCTACTAAGCTAAGAATACACTGCAGATAGGGACTTTTTCATGTTTGTATCCCTAACACCTACCTTAGTAGCCTAAACAAGGGCTTAATGTACTTTTGTTGAATGGAATTAGTTTTTATGGCTCACTTAAAATTAGAGAGCAATGCTTATTTAATAAGTCAGAATAGACTATAATAATAATGTTAATAGCAGAATCCTATTTCCATGCTTACTCAAGTAACATTCCTTTGTGAAAGTAAATTTTGAAAGTCTTTACATGTCAATGTATTTTTATGTGCTTACTTGAGAGCCTAAAGAAATTAAAAGTATCAGTGCAGAATAGTTTCTAAGACCCCCCTATTGATGTTATATTTTAAATATATTAACTCATTTCAGATACACACACACACACACACACACACACACATACATATATATTCATTTCATGGATATGCATTAAATTTCTGTCTTTTAACTGTCATGGCTATGTTTTGTGAATTACTTATTAAGACCCAAGTTATTTTAATCCAAAACACAGTAAACCAAGTGTTTTCTGTGTACAAGAATAGAGCCAGCGGGGATATAGTTCCATGGCACTGTGCCTGCCTGGCAAGCGCAAGGTCCTGAGTTTGATTCCTGGTACCCAATGAAAAAAAAAGAATAGAGTAACAGAGTTAAGATTCCTGTATTTATGTATTATACTATCTGTTTTGCTAAATTTTCCGTCTCATTATTGCAAATGTGTTTTCTTAAGTATTTAAATTCATTCTGCAATCAAAAAAAGCACTTTTCCATATATTAAGAACCTCAGTAATTTTTAAAAGGTTGGGGCTGGAGATATAGCTGAGAGGCACAGAGCCTGCCTGGCAAGCTCAAGGTCCTGAGTTCGATTCCTGGTACCAAAAAATAAAATAAAATAAAATAAAATAAAATAAAATAAAATAAAATAAAAAGGTCTTTCTTTGATAATCTTTGAGTTTTGTAGGGATGGAATTAACAGTTTACTTATTCAGCCCTTTACTGAGCAATATATTATGTGCTGGGCAGTAGGCTGAGTGGTTGTGATGGAAGATTAATAAGCCAGTACGTACATGCCCTGGAATAGTGCACCATCTAACAGAGAAGAGAGTATATGAAGAAGTAATTGCATGATAAACTTTGGAGAAGAAGAAAGAAAGCTCTTAGAACCAAGGTCAAGATTAAGTATGGATATGTCTGCGGACCACCTTGTAGACAGAGAAGCAGAGCCCTCAAGGGAGTTCATGCTTGATAATCTTTTTAAAAAATATATGAAGTAGGAATCTAGGTCATCTTTACAAGTCAGTGGCTCATAAAGATGGAATAAATGGGATAAATCTTGAGAGAACAGTGAAGACTTGGACAACTAATAAGGAACGTTAGAGGCTACAAAGACGAGCAAAGGGTGGCATGCGGTTTTGCGAAAACAGTGAGAGTAGAATTGGAGTTCGGATAGCGTGAAACTGCGGGTGGCAGCAGCCCAGTGGTGTAATTCTCTCTGCCTGTGCTCCATGGCCAGTGTGTGGGTGCATTAAAGCCGTATTATGTTCAGGGCTCATGGGTGGGTATTACACAAGCATAAGAGGGCCAGGAATTTAGGAATTCTTCCAGGAAAGTAGGGTTAGGAGAAAGTCACCATACTTGGAGAAAGTCAAGAACCTGGAGATGAGAATAAGGTCTGGCACTCTGTAGATATTCAGCACATCTTCCCCTTCTCCTTTCTGAGTCCTTTCCCTGTATCTGTTCTACTACCTGCTTCTATTATGGGCGCTATATATATGGAATGAGGTTTGTCACTGGCCTGGAGGGGAAGATTTGATACCAGGCTCCAATGTCCTCATGCGGTATATCCCAGTGACTTAGATGGGGGTAGTGCTTAGTGAAGCTGGCCTCTAGAGAAAGACGCTCAAGCTTGTCGTCACACCGCCTACCACTCCTCCTTTGAGGGATGGGGCAGAGGACGAAGATGTTTTATTCCGTGACGATTCTTGGGGCCGGGATTTACTCCATGATGAGAAGCATTACAGCTCTAAGCTTTCAAGGGTTTACAATGAGTTCCCTTCTTCCCACCAGCTGAACTGTATATACGCATCTTAATTACCTTCAAAGACGTAAGAGGGAGTCCTTCTTGACCTAGAATAAACGTATCAACCACATTGGGAACCCAAAGGACTTCCTTCTCAGAATCTAGTTTCTAATAGTGTTGGTTATATCTTTTGATTCACTTTAAATGATTTATCAAATATATTGTGGTATCTTAAAGGTATTTTTGAGGTTTTCGTTTCAAATAAGGACAAGTCATTTTCCGTGGAAACACATTAGATACATCACATTTCCAGAGATTCTTTTCATTCTTATTTATGACAGTGAAATCTGATGATCCTGTTGCCGCCCAGAGTGCTTTTTTTGGGTAGAGTATAAAGAAAAAACTCACCGGAATGGAGCTCTGTACCTTAGCTGTGACATTACTAGACAGGTGAGGGTTCCCAGAAAAGTAGACCGAAGCCACAGGTCTTCATTGTCAGTAATGGAGCAAACATTCAGGGAAGTCCTGGGGAGTCTAGATGATGAGTCTTGCTATTTCAGATTGTTAATAATATGGTTCAGGGATTTTTGGGTTGTTTTTTTTTTGCTTTTTGTACTGGGGTTTGAACCCAGGGCCTTCGCACTGATGTTCATCCCCAGCCCTTTTTATCTTTTATTTTGAGACATGGTCTTCCTCTAAATTGTGCAGGCTGGGCCTGAACTTGTGATCCCCCTACCTGAGCCTGAGTACTGGGATTACAGGTGTTTGCTACTATGCGTGGCTCTGTTAACAGTCCCTTTCAGGCATTTAGCAGTGCTTGCCTAGGAAGTAAGTGAACACTACTTTTGAAACTTCATTGTCATCTGAGTTGCTCTAAGAAGCACGTGCCTCACTTTACATTAATCACATGAAGAAAAACATTCAGCTTTATCCAAAAATTGGTGACATTCATCTGGACCCTTTGGATTCTTCTATATCCATGTAGCTCATATATGCTTGCCCCTTTTTCAAGTGCTTCTATTGAATAGGTGGAGCTGCCATTGTGACTAAGATAAAATTTCCTTAGCCTAGTATGTCATAATAACTTTGCTTAGGGTTAAATTTCTCCTAAGCCAGATTTGTTTCCCTCTGACCTTAACAGATAAGAATAGGTAAGTATTTCTAATTAGATATTTAAACCAAAGAGACATTTTTAGAGGTAAAAGTGATTGTTCTAAGTGTTAGTTCAAGTATTCTGATCCAGAGATTTTTAACTGACAACTTACCCATGCAGACATTTAGTATAGGTATAGGAAGTATTTCTAGATGAGAGAAAGAGGGAGAGAGAGAGTTTTATTTATTCTGTTCATGGCACAAGGCTATTAATGTATATAAATGATATCACTGTTTTTCCTAAAGTGCGCATGAAAAACAAACAAAACTTTTCTGTAGATGTCTTACTTGAATTTTAGTTGTAAGACTGTTTTCCTTTCCTTTTCAGGTTGTAAGCATGTTAAAGGCATCCTGTTATATGGGCCACCAGGTTGTGGTAAGACTCTCTTGGCTCGACAGATCGGCAAGATGTTGAATGCAAGAGAGCCCAAAGTGGTCAATGGGCCAGAGATCCTGAACAAGTATGTGGGTGAATCAGAGGCTAACATTCGCAAACTTTTTGCTGATGCTGAAGAGGAGCAAAGGAGGGTAATATAAATATAATTTAGTAAAAATCTGCAATCACTTACGTGATGAATGAAATTCACGTGTAGAGGCAAACTTGTTCCTGTGGTTTGCATTTTGAAACAACTTGCAAATAAAATTTACTTAGTACCTAGTTTAGGTATTATACTGTGAAGAGATTATGGGTGATTTACATGATATGAGCAGATGTCATTTACTCACATGTTCATAATACCAGAGATTATTGTATAAGCCAAAAGTTTTGCAAAAACAGACTATGAATATATTTTCAAGTAACACATTTATAGCACATTATATCCAAAGGCTTGAACACATTTATCTCTTGGAAAAGGATAAATTAAATCCATGAATAGACATAGAATTACATGCATGTAAGGCCCATGAGCAGAAAGTTAATTTACTTACATTGAGTTGGCGTAGGTATAAAATGGCACAATTGAGTTATCAAAACTCAAAGGCAAACTTGTTTGTGTCTTAGGAAAAAAATATATAATATTTAAAAATTAGACCAGAATTTACTGTGATGGTTAATTTTGTGTCAGCTTGACCTGAACTACAGTGCCCAGACTTTTGGTGAAATAGTACTCTGGGTGTGTCTGTGAGATTATTGCTAGATGAGATAAAGTTTTTAATTGGTAGACTGAGTAAAGGAGAGTGTCCTCCCTAACTCTGGGCAGGCCCCACCCGTCCAGTCGGTTTAAGGTTAACAGCTGCACTTTAGAAACAGGGGAAACAAGAAATCCATTGCAGGTAGGATATGGGGTGCACACCTGTAATCCCAGCTGCTTGAGAGGCTAAGGCAGGAGGATCACAAATTCAAGGACAATTTATGGAAACCCTGTCTAAAAAATTTATGGAAAAAAAATTTTTTTTAAGGGCTAGAGATGTTGCTCAGTGGTAGAGCACTTACCCAACATGCTCCAGGTCCTGGGTTCAATCTCCAGTACTTGAAAAAAAGCAAAAATGAAACAGAAGCTGTCCAGTGAATGCCATTTTTAAGGAGACTGAGAGAAAAAAAGATTTAGAATTTGAGACACTATAGTTCTGAGTGCTGCTTATGTTGGTCTAGGTAAATATATTGTTTGTTTTAATATTTGTATGACATTCCATTTCCTACTGAGGAGCAGTATTTTTTCTTCTGTTGATTTTTTTTTGCCATGTTCTTTGCCAAGAATGATTTTATAGTGATATTTCACTGTTGCATTATTCTTCTAGGTAATTTCATCATTTTTCCGTTTTCTTATTACTTTAACCTTTTTTTAGCATAGTTGGGAATACTTGGTGAGTAAGTATTTCTAAGATGATGAAATAACGTAATATACCTTAGAGTTTAAAACAATCCAGTGGACTCAAATAGCAAGAGAGAATGAATTTGTTCTGTTTTTAAAAATACATTCTCCTTTTTGTTCTGTGGAAGACTTACTTAAAATGTCATGAAATACCAGTCTTTATAAATAGTGTGAACTGCTCATAAAAGAATTTCAAAAAATGGCCGGGCCTGATGACACACACCTATAATCGCAGCACTCGGGAGGCTGAGGCAGGAGGGTTGTTGTGAGGTTGAGACCAGCCTGGGCTACAAAGTGAGCTCAAGGCCAGCCTCAATCGCGTAGCGAGACCTTGTCTCAAAAAAGGCAGAAGAAAGAATTTCAAAAACTGAAATTGATTTGAAAAAGGTAAGGGGACCAAGAGATGGAAGGAGAAAGAAGCAAGTGAATAAAAAAACAGTTAAGGGCTGGGGATGTGGCTCTGCGGTAGAGCGCTTGCCTAGCATGCACAGGGTCCTGAGTTCAGTCCCCAGCACCACACACACACACACAAAATTAAGATGTGTTATATACACGTGCCCCACAATGAATGTAATCATTAGGTCCTGCAGACATGTACTAATAAAAATAAAAATTAAAAAAAGTTGAGTCTAGGGGCTGGGGATTTAGCTCAGCGGCAAAGCGCCTGCCTGGCAAGCGCAAGGTCGTGAGTTCGGTTCCCGGTACCGGAGAAAAACCAAACCAAAAA